TACACATAGATGTCTGAATTATGTGAATGGTAGTGTCGATCAAAAAATTAAGTCGTCAATACGTTCTGATATGCTGTAGCCTACATTAGCTTCTGAGGAGAATGTTCGCATGTATCGTGCGAATGAATTAAAAACCGTTCAAAAAATGTCAAGATTTAATCGATATGAAATATGGATTTATTTTTCTTAGTGACAACTTGTCAAAAACACTTCTATCATTTAGATTTCATTATACATCTTGACTATATATTGTAGTACATCTAAATTGACATTTTGGTAAAATTGTACTGTGGGAATATTGTAGATTCGTGATAAATAAAGGGTCAAGAAAAAAAGAGAAAGAAACGAAAAGAAAAAAAAAGAAAGAAAGAAAAATTCAAGACAGAAAGAAAAAGTAAAGAAAGAGAAGAAAAAAAAAAGACAAAATGAATAGAAAATTAAAGAACGAAAAAAAAAATAAAAAAGGAAAGGAAAGATAGGTAAAAGAAAGGAAAAAAGAGAAAGCAAGGAAAATGAAAAAGTAAAGACAGGGAATAAAGAAATGATTGGAATGAAAAACCAAAGATTGAAAAGGAAAAAGAAAGAAAAAAGCTGAAGAAAATATAGGAAAGAATAGAAAGAAACCACATAGAATGGAAGTATAAAGCTGATGATGCTGATAATGGTGATGATGAAGGGCCCCTGAATATCAGCCAACCTTATAGGATACGCTGGAAGGGTCACCCTCTATAAATATGGTAAAAAATACAAATTTAAATAAAAAAAATTAAAAAAAGTATTGGGAATGAAGGCAGTTTGGTCGTAAAAGAGGGAAAATTTATTTGTGTCTTAATTCAATATATCATAAATGGTCGTACTTTTTTGTTAAGGTAGCCTACCGTACAGCACTTCGCCAGGCTTTGCCTTTGCTGTACTTCTTCCATCTTAATTTGTTATACATTTTTGTTTATGATGGAAAATAATAAAATGATTGATTGATTGATTGAAAATCCTCTTATGAATGATCGGAAGAGGGAAGAAAAAGTAAACTAAAGAGCACGCAATGGAGATGTTTAATGTGACCTTCAGTTAGTATGTCGGCAAATGATGAAGTTCGACCGCTAGGCCTATCCGTTCGATGATAAGGCTGTTACCGTATGTTATATTTGTTATGTTATATTATTAGTAGGTCTACTACTACTATTATTATTATTATTATTATTATTATTATTATTATTATTATTATTATTATTATTAGTATCATCATCATCCTTCTAATTATTAATATTATCATTATTCCCATCACTATTATTATCAAATAATATTATCATAATGCACATAACGTATATTATTTTATTATTATTATTATTATTATCCGTCATTGTCATTAATATTCGTTAATATTATCATTAATATTCTCATCATTTAAATTATTATTAACGATATCATTATTACCATCATCATAATTATTATTAGTAGGCATATAAAATATTATTATTATTATTATTAGGCTATTATTATTATTAATATTATCATCACCATCATCATCATCATCAATCTAATTATTAACATTATCATTATTCCCATCACTATTATCATCATAATCAAATAATATATTATCATATGATATACAGATACATCTTAACATTAACGAATTTCAGGTTTATATGCTTATCAGGCCCGTAGCGTGACCTTATTTGTGGGAGGTTCGTTTCAGGGGAAAGTGGACCCTTTAGCTTGTATGATCTCCGATACTCTAGAGAACATTGTAAATATATCTACGAATACCAATTGTTCGTTTTTAAATGCTTCTCCAGTTTTTGGGAGGTTCGTCGTAACCCCCTTACCACCCCCACCCCCACGCAACGGGCCTGCTTATTAAATCTAGGAAAAAAGGTGATATAAGTTTCGTATTGACATAAAATCATATAAAGCAAAAAAATTAAATCACACCAAGATTAAAACGATGATTTTTTAGACAAAATCATATTGATAATTATTCATGTTTAATAATTCTTTGCTTTGAAAACAGAATCAGCTACGCCAAATTCGAACCAGAATCGTATGACCAGTAACCGAAAAAAAACCCCAAAAAAACCCATGACCTCAACTGGACTGTGACTGAACTCTCTTGCATTAAATTATTTAAGACATAGGCCTATTACATGAAATCAGATAAAAATGATTCTAACATGGTTATATTTAGTTAAATTGGCCTATAGCCATGTTCTGTTAACGTCTCCGGTATTGTGATCTTACTTGGAATAATCATTTCGCTGTTTCTTGTCTCCACATATTCTTGGCACTTTTGTGACAGTTAACGTGGTGAATTAAGGGAGATAACTTTGAGCGCCATAAAACGTGGAAATGCTTAAACAAATCTCCATCATTGAACCAGAACATGGTCTAGACCATAAAACCATGGAGGTATTATGAATATTTATGATCCATCCTACATTTTTCTGACAGACTGGAGAAAGTTAAATTGTGTAGGCTACAAAAAGTGTAGGCCTAATGGTACCGTTAACTGGTAAAGAAAAGGCAATAATATATTAGGAAAAATATTATTGTGTTCTAGGAATTTTCACGAACATGGACAGTACTGTAACAAAATCGCATAAGGAATTAACTAAATTGCAGACATTGTTTGTTTACCAAGAAATCATGCAAAATGTGTTAATATTTTAACAAAGCCCGGTCGATAGGGGGCGCTATCTGGGTAAAGACTTGATATTTTGATAGCGTGACAATGTATGAAAAAAGCGGAAACTTGGCCTATTTTACGGGGCGCCGTTTGGGACACTTAGTCCAGTCCGAAATGTAGCAATATCAGAGGTTGCATTTTTTTTTGCTATATTTGTTAAAAATTGGATATGATGTAGAGTAGACATTGATAAATCAAAAAAGTATGTGCAACATTTTTTTTTTCATACGCAGATGTGTATAAGAGACAGATATACAGACTGTTTGAGAAATGTTCAATACAATTTATTAGACAGTCAATTACTAAAGTTCTGCAGCGCAAAGCGTCACTTCTTGCTTGACATAAAGCAGGATCCTTTCTCCCCATAACAATTTTTCTTTTCATTTGTAAAGGTTAAAAATTATTCCTTAAAATTTTAAAAACATGCCGGCTTAGTTTGCCCGTCATTCTCATGGTAAGCTGTGACAGTGGTTCTGCAAATCTACAAGTCACGCCACTAGTTCAATGT